CTTCATTCTTTTTAAGAACCTCTGTATTCTCATTTGCAGTACATATGCCATACGAAACTCAAAGTCATATGTTTCTTTGAAGTCAAGAAAATACTTCTATGTTAGGTTACAAAATTATTTCCAAAAGCCACCCCAAATGTTTCATATTTATTTGTACCAATCACAACTTGCCGCTTAATTTCTCCAGGGGTGAGGAGCCACACATAGGTCAGGACTTTTCTTAACACAGGACAACATTTGGAGCATCAGGACAACCCTAAATTTCCCTCATTAGAATGTTTTTTCCCATCCTTGTTGGTACAAGGAACCAATAATCACGTGTTCACAGAAAGCCTGTCTGCCCAGCCTTAGCCGGCTGCACTGGGAATAGTTATCTGGCCTAGGCTGGCCAAGCAAATGGTCTCTCCTGAGACTTGAACCTGAATCGAAGATACAAAATGCTTTGTCCTTCCAGAACTAGAATAGAAAGCTGTCACTCAAAGTCTGTTTTTGACCCTGTGTTCTGGCAACCAACACGAACCAGTTTGCAGAAAGAGAAATAAGCCAGTTGATTGTTCACAAGAAAGAACTGGAAAGCATACGCCGCCTGCTTACTGGAGCTCCCGAGTACCTGGTTCTAGGTTCACAGGCCTGCTGGCACTGCCTTCCCTAGTTTTCCAGACAAGATACCACAAAATCTGCCTGAAGCAAGTTCCATCTTGTGCAAACACAAAAGGCCACAGCAGACCGAACCCAAGATCAGCACAAAGAAAACATTTACTTTGACACAGGGTGAATGTTCCAATACGGCAAATGCTTGTGTGCGGCTCACCACGCCCATCTGTGCTCTGTGTGCCACCATACAGTTCATGAACCAGGCAAAGGGCTGGTGACTGAAACACACAAAGACACACAGAGACACGGGTCATCCTTGAAACAGGAATGCCCCAAGAATGCCCCCTTTATTGTGCTCAGGGGCAGCTTATATAGGGATAGCCATGCCGCAGTCAAACGCACCAGAAACCATTCCCCTGCCATCAGGAACTCCCGAGGGTTTCATGCTCAGAGCAGCTGCAGGCTGTCTCAGATCAGGGGGAAACAAGTTGTTTACAAGAAATTCAGGATCTGGGGGTTCACAGCTCCCAATACTTGTGTCTGACTCCTCTAGGTTGCAGAGCGCATTACACATCACTCCAATAGAATACTGTCGGCATCTGCACTCGCAGGTTCTGTTCTGTGGATTCAACTAACCATGAATGGGAAATACTTGAGAGGGCAAGCATCTATACTGAACATGCATAGACCTTCCCGTTAGCTTTGCTAGACATTGTTCCCTGCAGGAGACAGTATAACAACCACACTGTCAGAACAGTTCTGTGTTTGTACCGTTCTAAGCATTTTAAGCAGTGCACAGACCTGAGATTATGGAGGTGTGTAGGTTGCATGAGAACACTGCTCAAGTCTATATGTGAGACTTGTGCATGGGTTTGGGTGTGAGGTTGAAACCAGTTTCCCACAGATGCCAAAGAATGACAGCTCCCAAGACTAGGTGAGTGAAAAAGAAGGCAAGTCTATTTTGGCTCACATGTCTATAAACTAGGGGATCTAAGAGCCTGGTACCAGAATCTGCTCAGTGTCTGTGGACTGAAGGTTTCATATACAGAAAACCAGAAAGGCAGAAGAATCTTGGGAAGAAGAAACACACAAGGGGCAGGCTTTCTAGAAACTGCCTCTAGCTCCCTGAGAAGAATATCAATCCCTTTTAATAACCAATCACCTCCTGAAGGCCTCCCTACCCCTTCCCTCCCCCCACTAACACTGCCACAGTGACAGTGACGATCAGTCTTCAACCAGAGTTTCAACTAGGACAAACTGTATTCCTGCCATAACACACGGCGCCCGGCCACTCATTTACTGGGGCTCTCCGAGTGTTCTGGAAGTGGCGAGGAAGCTAGTGAGGGTGGTGGGAAGAAGGGCACAGGTCACTTGTACAGGAAGGGCCTGGTAAAGGCAGGTGAGGGAGGACAGTGGACAGTACTGCATGTTCAAGATGGCACAGAGGCATGGCTAGGCTGGAGGGAGAGGACAACTCCAGAGTCCCACAAGGAATATAGGGGTGATCGCTCAGCCACCCACTAAATCCACGGAGACTATGGAGAAAAGCAGTGTGTCTGTGGGGATCTGGAAAGTCTGGAAGAAAGATGCACACACAGGTTTCTCTAGCTTTTATGAATTTCTCCCAGAGGAACTAACGCCCAGAGGAACTAACACCCAGAGAAACTAACACCCAGAGGAACTAACTTTAAAAATCACCTACTACCTAGTGTGGAGTCAAGGACTTCCTGTTAGTGCCCTCCTTTGTTCTGCCTCAACGACAGCCTCAACGTAACTGGGTTTTTACTCTGATGAAACTGATACCAAGGAAGAGAAAGTATTATTAGAGACTTCGAGGTCATGTCAAGTTTTGGTGGTTCTCAGTGACCCACATGCAACACGAATGAGCCCTCCGGGGAACCCCATGACCCACACAGGCATGTGTGCCTTAGGACTCTTCTCTGCCTCCCTTCACTTCGCAAACCATCTAAGGATAGGAATCTAAGACCAGTCCTGATACCGGTGACTGACATGCAGCTCAACCTCGAGAGTAAGTGTTGGGGGAGTTGGCTTAGTTAGTAAGCTGGCTGTGCAAAGACAAGGACCTATGGTTGAGCTCCCAGCACTGATATAAGAAGCCAGGCATGGCTGGGAGTGTATGCAACCCCAGCATTGGGGGGCGGGGGGTGATGAAGATTGGCAGATCTCAGGAGCTCACTGACAACTTAGCCTAGCCAGGCAGTTCACTGCAAGACCCTGTCTCAAGGAAATGAGGCAGAAAGCCATTAAAAGAGAAGTCTGATGTCCTCCTCTGGCCTACACATGTGCACATGTGGACATGTGTGTTGTGGATTTAGTTGACCATGTTGGGTGCCAATTGGGCAAGAAACTGCTATTGCCTGGACAGCTTCACCGGACATGGACATGAAGAACCCACAGAGAGATGACTGCTGAACTTGCCTAACGGTGAGATGGTCCTTCAGGGTTCCTGCTTCATGAAAGAGTCTGTGAGACATTCTGCAGGATACAGAAAAAAGTGACTAAACTGTCTTTGAAATTCCCTGCTTCATTGAAAAGTCTGCTGGATACTATGGGCCTGTAGGCTAAAGATGGATGCCCCAATGATACAGAAGAACTTTGGGTGACTGTCCAGACAGTGAGATGTGTCTGTCAATTCTAGAGTTCTGGAAGTTGCTTACAATGCACTTCCTGTTTACTTAGGTAATATTATATCCTTCTGGAGTCTTAGATGGAGTTAAAAAATTATAGTTATAGTTATAGTTTTCCTTAGTTAAGATAAAAGATAAAGTAGATACAAATATTATAACCGTAATTCTTGCTTGATAACTGTTTTGTTATATGTAATTTTACTATGTTAAAGTTAAAGCCTTCCTTTTTTTTTAAACAGAAAAGGGGAAATAGTGTAGGAGTTCCTTCTATTTGTGTGTTGCTTTCATTGGTTAATGAATAAAGAAACTGCCTTGGCAAAGTTGATAGGGCGGAACTTAGGTAGGCAGAGAAAACAGAACTGAATGCTGGGAGGAAGAAGGACAGAGTCAGAGAAGCCATGGATCCTCCACCTGAGACAGATGCCAGTTAGAATCTCGGGTAAGCCACTGCCACGTGGCAATACACAGATTAATGGAGATGGGTTAAACTAATATGTAAAGAGTTAGCCAATAATAAGTTAGAGATAATGGCCAAGCAGTGTTTTAACTAATACAGTTTCTGTGTGGTTATTTTGGATGTAAGTTAGCAGGGCAGCCGGGACAAACAAGTGGCCCCTCCTTGCAACAGTTACACTGTATTAGACTTCCCAAAGCATCCCCAACAAGAGAGTGGAATATTTAAAGTGCACACTGGCATTGAAGCAGCCTACCTCCAGATCAGGAGTCTGCCCTTTCCCAGCTACATGAGCTGCTATGAAGTTCTAAACTCAGATGCTTGCTTCACTCACCTATAAAATGAAATAAGAGCACACACAGTTCTCACAGGGGTTAAATGATGAATGTGCTGTGTAGGAGTCAGCCATTCTTGATATCATTGCCTCTCTAAGCAATTATCGCTCCAAGAAGTGAAGCTTTGACCCTGGCTGGTAATCTTTGCATTTACACAGCTGACCAATGACCACAGGTCATAGTTCCACCCTCGCCCCTGCCTGGGGCTAAATTTCTGCTTGACCCAGGAAGACTTTCTTGGGCCCAAAGCCCCCCAGCCCCCCTCCATCTTCTCTCTCTCTCTCTCTCTCTCTCTCTCTCTCCCCACCCCCTATAATCTTCCAGGTTCTACTTCTTCTTTGAATTTTAGCTTTAATGGTGGTGGTGGTGGTGGTGGTAGTGGTGTGAGAGTATTTCAAGGTCAGAGAAGAATTAAGTGGATTTACTTCTCTTCTTCCACCTTTAAATGGGTTTTGAGTATTGAGCTCTGGTTTACACACTTGTTCAGCAACTATTTTACCTACTGAGCCATCTCACTGGCCCTGAATTATTCTTGTTAAACCACCAATTTCAGGTACTGGAGAGATAACTAAGCAGTTATGAACACTTGCTGATCTTCCAAAGGACCCTAATCTACTTCCTAGCATCTACATTAGGTAGTATACAATCATACAAAACTCTAGTTCCAGGGGATCTGAAACCCTTTCCCGATCTCTGTGGTATCTGCACACACGTTGCACACATACACATGGCACACACATGTGGCACACACACACGTGGCGCTCTCTCTCTCTCTCTCTCTCTCTCTCTCTCTCTCTCTCTCTTTCTCTCTCTCTAAAGATTTCAGCAAGTCACCTCCCAGACCCAAAGACAATGTCAGTGCAAGTTCCAGCTAGTCTGGCTGATTAATTTTGTTTGTACCAATATTGTGGTACCAACCCCACAGCTAAATAAATTCTACTTTAAATGATTCCAAAAAATCAAGGTCATCTTTTTATTGGAGCACAAAAAACGCATGCATAAATTCTCATTGCATAAAAAGAAAAAGAGAAAAAACAAACCAATGAATGAGAAAGCAAAAGGAGCCCTGTGTTTATTTACCCTCTGTGCAGCTGTCCTGCACCATCTTCCAGGTCTTTCCATGTGTTAGAGTAGCTTGGTTTTGTGTGACTGTTTTACATACTGGAATTATTTGGGGTTTGGGGCTTTATCGTCAAGTGACAACCAGTTTTGAAAACCTTTTTCAAATCGTACAGGATTTTGTAGGATGACTTTCTTTGGCTTTCTATAGTTTATTTTTCTATTGAGAGACATTGGAACTGTTTCCAATCTAAAGGATGACTGCATTTAATCACATCTTCCACCGTATTTACCATTTTAAAAACATGAATTTTAGGGGCTAGAGAGTTGGCTCCATACTTATGAGTATTTGTTGCTCTTGCAGAGGACCTGGGTTCAATTCCTAGCATCCACGTGGTGTCTAATAACAACCTAACTCCAGTTCCAAGAAACTCGATGTCCTTCAAGACTCTCCATGCAGTAAACACACAAGTAGTATACATAATTTAAATTATTCACACACCTAAAAGAAAAATAAATATCTAAATATGATTTTTTAATAAGAGTAAGAATTCTATTGTTGCTGGAAATCAATTTCTTTTTTGTAACTATATTCAATATTCATCAAATTGTAATCATAGATTTACTCTTACATAATTACACACATAATAAAAAAATCACTATGGGGACAAACTAGGAGTTTTACAATTTGTATTTATTTTTACACACACATTCTGTGAATTTGTATTTATTTTTATACACACATTCTGTGAATTTGATATATTAGTTACACACTTCTATGTAACAACTTATCTGGGGACAGTGGTTGAAAACAGTAAGTAGGCTTACCCCTGTTCTCTGAGGTTCAGTTCAGGGGGGCTCTTGGCTCCTGATCTCACAGTTGCTATCAATTGTCAGCTAGAACTATGGTAACCGCAAAGCTCAGCTTAAGAATCTACTCCCAGAGTCACTCACTGTTGGCAGGGCTGCTCACTGGCTGGTGCTCCCAGACTCACTCACTGTCGGCAGGGGTGCTCAGTGGCTGGTGCTCCCAGACTCAGCCATTGTCGGCAGGGGTGCTCACTGGCTGGTGCTTCCAGACTCAATCACTGTCGGCAGGGCTGCTCACTGACTGATGATCAGATACTTCGGTTCCTGGCCCTGAGATTCTTTGAGTAGTTATGTACAAGATGGTAGCTGATGGTACCTACAAAGAAGGCTCAGAGGATAGTAGGGACCTAATACCTATACCCCTCAAAACATACCGAAATTCTACCCCCTAACATGATGGCACATAAAGAGATAATGTCATAGCAGAGATGAATTAATGAAGAATGCCAAAAGAGCATGCATCCTATTCACAGTGTAAAGGTCGGGGAAACTGTCAAACCTCACTGAACCTTAACCTACAGGCCTTGATCTTGAACTTCCTGTCCTACACAACTGTGAGAAAGAAATGCTTTTTAGGTTTGTGTCACCTAATTTATAGTATTTCGAAACAGCTGTCAGGCTGGCTTTGAGAGACAAGGACAGACGACAAGAAATCAGTCTTTTTTTTGTAATAGCCATTTTATTGCTACTCTAGTTATTTAAAGCAAAGTCTGTCCTAACTAAAGGGGAAAAGATTACACGGGGTCAACTCCAGGAGAAGTGGCTACTGGGAACCAATAGGAATCCTCTCCAACTGGCCTCTCTGTGCCTCATCATAAACCTCTAACTTATAAAGACCAGTATGAGGAATCAAAGAATTAAAATATGGAAGTCCTCGGAACAGCACTAGACAAACGTATGGGGATGAAACAATGCAAAGAGAGCCAGACTGGAAACCCGTAGGGTAAAAGATCTGAACTCACCTCCAGATGTAAAAACTCACCATTCCCTGAGCTCACAAACCTACCAATCCCTGAACTCAGAAACCCACCAGTTCCTGAGCTCAAAGACCCACCAGACCCTGAACTTGAAATCCCAACAATCCCCACCCTGGAAAACTCTGCCCCCCAAGAAATCCTGCCTCCCACTCAGTTCTCTGTAGCTTCTCCCGTAGAGGCAGTCACCTTCTTGTGTCTTTCCCAATAAATCTCTTCTGTGAGGTTTGTTGTATGGTGTGTCTTTTTGGCTTCCAGCTGCCAGGATATCTTTCCCCTCAAAGCTGCAGCCCTCCTATTGTGGAAATCTTACCCCCCAGCACTGCAACACTTCAGAATTGCACCACCTACAGTACCCACACCTGTAATCCCAAATCCTTGAGGCACAGGGAGGAAGATTGCCAAGTCCAGGGCAGCCTGTGTTGCTCAACTAGAGTCTAGCAAACTCAGCAAGCAAACAGACAAAAAATATTCTGTTCATTTCAAACAAGTAAGTCCGCATTGATTGTTCAAGAGGCATTGAAGGTTTTATTTTGAGCGTGTCGAAATTACCCTCAGAAACGGAGGTACTTTATACAGCCAGCATTGTGACCAGAAGGCCTCATAGTCATCGCCAAATTTCCCATGAACTTTCCCCGATCAGAAGTTTTCAAGCTCCAAGGCACACCCCAGTCATTTCTAGACCCAAACAGGAAAGACCTCCCAGGCTCTGCTCTGCAAATGCAAACTATTTGCCTAACTGCAGAAGTCACAGGGTTTGCAAAACCACACCATTTTTGAGCTGCAGATATAAGGGCCCACTTGTCTGCCTGATGGAGCCGTTCTCATGGTGTTCAACAGTCAAGGCAAGATGGGGGGCTCACCCACAAAAGCGCTGGGTTCTTGTTGTTGGGTTTTGTTTTGTTTGTTGTTTTTAAATAAGATTTCTTAGCAGAGTCATCAGTGTCAAAGCCTGGGCGCTGGCATTGCTAACAAGCCAGACTCTTGGCCACGTGTCCTCAATGAACCAATTTAAAAACGAATAAACAAATAGTGAAAAGTAGAAAACGGAAATGTATTCAACGTCGCCACTTTAGAGACCCAGTGCCCCACACCTACAAGTTCGTCTTGGGCTCCTGACAGGAGATTTAGAGAAAGGACCAGTGGTACGCTTGACTAACCAGTCACAGCTCAGGTATGATCCCGCCTATCACCCACCCATGGCTGTCTCAATCCCAGTCTCTCCTCAACAGCGGTCTGACAAGTTCCCAGAACTCTGTGAGAGCTCAGTTTCCTACTCTGGTTGGACCAAATTTCAGCCTTCTTTTCGCAACATGAGAGACCCAGGAAAATTCTAATTTCTTGGAGGCCGTCTGACGGCTAACACAAGCTCACGTGAATTCCTACCAGGTCAGCTACAGGTGTACTCTGAGAGTTTAAGGCAAGGGGAAAATTCCCCCCAGGACATCCCCAGCTTTAAAGGTGCAGTGGGGCATGAGGACTGGGGAGCTGGTTCGATGGTTAGGAGCACCCCCATGGCTACTCACAAGCCTCTGTAACCCCAGTTCCAGGGAATCTCCTCCTCTTCTGGCACCAGGCACACACAGACCTATTCATGAAGGCAAGACACCCATACTCAAAATAATAAAAATGTTTAAGCCATATTTAAAAAGCACAGAGCAGGAGACAGGTATCCTGTTTGACAGGCCATCTAAAATTCAGTGGGTGGGAGGAGGTTCACCTCTCATCCAGATGTGGAAAATGAGTCATGACTCAAGAGATATTACAAAAGGGTTCACCCCCTCTTCCTGAAGTCAAAAGGTCACCCATTAAGCCTAGGCCCAGGAATACCAATGTTTCCCGGGGCAAAAACATCTCAAGTCAGTTCCACACACAGCACACATCTGGATGCTCATTGAGTGGAAGCTCTGAGCTAAATGCTCTCTGAAGAGCTCAAGCTCCTATGTGAAAAGGCCACCTCTCTCACACAAGCCCCTTAGGGAGGGGAAGGGAGGCTGGAAAGTCCAGTCTAGCAGCATGTGAGGTCACGGGTATGACTGGGTCACCAGGCCTGTCCCCTTGTCTACTGTCAGTAACTGCCAAGAGACTTCTCATGTGGCTTTTGCTTTTATTTTTAATTACCCCGGTCACCTTAATCAGGAGTGCCATGGTTAAAATGAAAGCAATTCTCTGTACCAGGTGATTCATCTCCTGGGGTAAGAGTTGATAGGTCAGCTGCAGTTTTAGAGACCACATTCTCTCAGCAGAGAATTGCTTTCCCTGTTCCTTTTTTGGTCTTCAGCTGCCCCGAAACCACACTTCTTTTTGAATTATCAGGAGGTGACAGCCCCTGTCCACAGAGACAAGGCAAAGAGCCCACTTTTGCAGTAACCTTTAGCACATTCCAGAAACGGGGATTCCTAACAGAAACCAGAGGTCAGAGACAAGGGAATGCAGCCTGTCATAAATTCCAACTGCTAGGGTTCTAACTTGAGTGGAATACGTATACTCTCCAATAAAGGTGAGATTGCTTTGGTTTCCTGGCATCGCTCTTACATTCTTTGTGCTCAACAAAGGTGAAAATCTAATAAACAGACCGACCTTTTCTCGCCCTTTTCTCTGCAGACCAGCTAAGAGGCAGTGGTGATTGCCTGCACAATTCACTGTGGTTGTGGAGCTGCTTTCTGACTCTGGAGAGTGAGCTAATCGCCTCATCTCAGTGACGGAGTCAGATAAAGATAAGGGTTCTAGAGCAGGTCCAGCCTTCTCGGTTGTGTGGCCCTGAGCAAACCAAACTCTCCATGTTTCCTCGACTGTAACCACAGCGTCCATCCTATAATATGGTGCCTGCAGAATCCAAAAAGCCATCTTTTCCCACATAGTGGATGCTCAATATTTTCTAGACTCCACGGCACCAACCTGGAATTCAATACATCACGGAGCTTTTAAAAAAAGAAAATCCAGTGATTCCTGAATACCTAGACAAACGCCTTATTCATTCTGTTGCTGATCATACCCTAGCCTCACACGACAACACTCACGTTGCATTACACACACCCAGCCCCATCCTGTCTGTGAGTTCCCTTCTCACCTTGTCTTTCTACCTCCTACCCCTCTGTATTTTACCTTTTTGTGTTACTAGGAATTGAACCTAAGACCTTGCAAAGGCCAGACAAGCACCATACCACTGAGCTACAGCCCTACCTTTCTTTGCGGTTGAGGACAGCATTGCTAAGTTGTTCATGTTGGCCTTGTAGTCACTCTGTGACTCAGGTAGGCCTGGAACATGGCCTCCTCCTCTTCAGTGTTCCAAGGAGTTGACAGTCCTGTAACCACCATACCTAGGTACTCTCTACACTTCTGGAGCTCTTTCCCGAGTGGTTTACTGGCCTCGAGGTCTTCCTAGAATGTAAACTGAGTAAGAACCATTTGCAGAGCCTGAACAGTCGTTGGCACACACAAATCCTAGGGAATATTTTGTGGGTCACTGACATTTATACCTAGTAAGTTTCTCTGAGTTTTAGATAACCCGTTCTTTACGAAAGTTAACTTCGTTTTTTTTTTTTTGAGCAACATTCCCGTCATTTTAAATTGCAGCTAACTTTTATAAGGTGTTTATGATGGGTGA